CACGAACGCGAGGAATGCATCGAACTCATTGAAAAACATGTCAAAAGTTTCAGATCCGAAATAATAGACATTTTCGGCACATTTTAAGCGTTTTTTGAGAGATCACGATGTTTAGCCGACGATTTATTCCTTATTCTTGACCCAAACAGTTTATAAATGCATATTTGCGACCTTCTTACGTCGAAAGGAATCGATTGAGCTCAGAAAACACGCATGTAAAATTTTGATTTTTGGTAAACATTTTTCTCATTGGAATCAGTAATCATCAGAATCAGTAATCAGTAGACAAATATTTTGAGCACTTTCGTTCGTGCGGCTTTATAACGTAAATAATTATTATATTAAAGTAGGTGCCCTTAAATAAGCTACAAGTAAAAAAACAGAACTACGTATAGGGTTCTTAAGAAACTCGATTCTAACGCTCGAATAAAACAGTCAAATCCGACATAGAAAGTTCTCAGCTCAACCGACATAAAATCGTTAAAAGTCTTGTTAAGCCACAAAATATTGCGCTTAATGAGAGACCAGAAAATCTAAATGGAAAATCTCTTCAGGCTCAATCAGTTAACGTTAAACTCGTTATTTTTCTGCTGGGTTCAACGGAAGCGAGGTCGACAGGCAAATGTCGGGGCAATCCGGGAAAATCCAGCAAAAACAACCACTTTGCTCAATAAACTACAATCAGCTCTGGATTTCTACCATTTGCCCAACAGAAGGAAAATCCTTGAATCGCTTTATAAGGAACGAATTTACCAATAGGTAATCTAAATAGCACGACCTTCACACATCTGGGATTTTCATGCGGCGGGTTAATTAATTCGGTTGTTTAGTATTTTAATCAGAAACATTTACAAGAGGAAGCACAGATTTCAGCACGTAGCAAACATTTTATACAGGGTGGGCCAATAAGAGACGTAGTCGACCATRTCTYACATACCATWAGTCGTATCGACGTCAGGTAAAACATAGKATGAGTAAAGCGGGGTTCTCATGAGTCCGGAACGCGTCCAGAACGCGAAAACCCTTCCGACCAATCAGAAGTTTGCCGGATGAGTTAGCTCCGCCCATCCTCAGAGGTTGCCAAATTTTAATATTTTCCGCATGACGTGCAKAAGAAYGTAAAAACCTAGGTTATCTCCAGTGAAAGGTTATGTTCAGCGGCGTMTATTCGACCGTCTTTCATTWTGATGTMTTTGTTTCCTTCTTTTTAGAACGTACAAAGACAAAAGCATATTTAACCTTTGGTTTCGAACGTTCATTTCATGCGCCTCAAAATACTGGCAAGAAAAAAGGTAGAAAAAAGCGTTGTATCCTGCCTCGCTTCCCGAAAGATATGGCAACACTGTCGGCGAAATGCGGAAAAATAATCCGGATACATGTGAACTGCGTGAATGGTAGTAGTAGGCTGCGCGCGCGCTTCCGCAAAGCATTCAGGACCTATGAGAACTAAGCTTAATAGTTTGTGAGATACGGTCGACCACCTCTCTTACTGGCCCACCCTGTACATAAATATTGATCGAAATGATCCAGTTTCTCGACGAAAAGGTGAACGCAATTCGAATGTACAGTCGTAGAGTTTTAACTACATGGGATTAAATCGATCGACCAGATTTTTAGAATTATCTCAAGCTAATTTTCCAGTCTCAAAGGAAGCAAATTCGGATGAATAAAGCCATGCTTTATATTGGCGATTGTGACTAGCGAAATCGAAAAACTTAATAAAATTGCTTGAATTATCTGTGCGTTTAGTGCGCGATCGGTTTTCTGATTGAAAATTCAAACTCTAATGAGCGAAAAGTGGTCCAAACCCTATTTCCGCAAGAAACACCACTGAGAGAAGTTGTAATTAAATTATTTATCTATGCGTTGAGCCCACAACTAACTTCGAACGCAAGGGGCGAATAAACTAGAAAACTTTCAAGATCACCACTATATTGAGAAACTTTAACATCAACAAAAAATCTGTTTAGCTCAAGAATTTAATGAACACTTTCCGTGACCCGTTGATAGTTAAAGTGCTTAAAAACCCATACAATCACATAAACATTGTGGTACAGTAGGCTAAAAGGGGCGAAAACTAGATTAACATTATATTTAACCTAAAACAACACTGGTTAAAATGATAGGAATCACACGTATACATACCCTAGGGATGCCTCTAAGCACAAAAAACCCAACGCGCATACAGTAGGACCCTAAAAACAATTAAATATGCAACTTTCACAAAAACTAATACAAAACCCCGAGCAAAAAGTCAAACGTAGGCCATTGCTCGAACTTTGAGGTTATTGGCAAAGCCTAGAGCAAGTTAATGTGCAGAAAACAGTGTCCAAATGGCCTCTTTGGTCCAAGCTTGATATTTTGTGCACAAATCAATGTTTTTGAATAAATCTAAAGAAATAATAAGTATAGGTAATGTTTAATTCATGACGTCATAGTTCTTTTCATATGTAGATGCAAGTGACCTCTAACAGGAGGTTTTTGAACTGAAGAAAATATATGGGGGAAATTATAATTTAAAATGGCGGGCGCGTAGTTGTTGTGCTTGTGGTTTTTCGCGAAACCAGTGTTTTCGTCCAGTTTACGGTGCTTTTCTTAATGAAAATTGGTCGGACAGGTGCCAAAACATATCCAAATTATCGTATTTTTGTTCGTGAAGTGCACTTTTAGTCATAAAGTGGGATTTCCATAGCTCAGGTGTCAATGCACCTGGTGTTGATGTGAAAGTACTGTAATATTAAAGGGTAAGCATTTATTTATTTGTTTCTCAATTTATTTGCTTTTTATTAATTATTTCGTTTTTTATTTGCTAGTTTTTATAGCTGGTCTCAATAGCGCGGGAACACAATTTGTATTGTAAACTTTCCAGGGGCCTTTTAAAAGTTGGCTGATTGGCTTATAACAAAGGTGGTTTTTCACCCACGAACTCATTGATTTATTAATTTTTTTAATTTACTGATGCCCTTAGCGACACCAACCGGCAATTAGCATTAATTTGTCTGTATGTTTTAAAAGCGTCGAAAAACACGCTAAGCGCAATAATTGTGTTTTCGATAAGACGGATCTTCGCCCTCGTATCGAAGAATATTGTTCATTCGCATAAGTTAGGTATAATAAATACAAATAGGCAAAAATCAAAGGCGTCAACTTCATATTTAATATTTGATGTCAATGCCATTTTTTGAAATTGTCTTGTTTTGACGTTTGTCATTTTTCAAAAGCGTACTTTTGTAAGCATATACAAGTGAAACAATTCAAGTGCTGCTTTCAGGGTATGGAGTTTGTTGAAGTTGCATATTTAGCATGAAATTGGCGCTATTATTTAAAAAAAATCGTGTTTTGCAAAAAATAGACCATTTGAACGACTTTGAGACTGAACTTCTTGTACAAAGTTTAATTTACAAATTGTACTTTAAATTATGATCAAGAGTTGTCGATAAACCTACGTAATTCATTAAAAAAGTGTGTCGGTTACTTTTTAATGAAAATTCTGTGAAGTATTTTATGACAATGCGTAGATTCTGCGCACATGTGCGTAAAAGTCTGTGCGGGAAAGCAAATGAACAGTAGAGAAAAGTGCTTCTTTTTTGTCATCGCATCTGATCGAAAAATTGCTATTTTCCTCTTTGGCGTTTCCTGTTTATTTTATTGAAATTTTCTGAATTACTTGAAACTTCTTAAAATTCCATCGTCGTCGTTCTCTTATTGCCTTATTGTTGGTAGGCCTTCTTTCAATGTTCAATGTGTACGAAGGTGTGTTCCTTTATCAATGGCTTATTATTTGAAAAGATCAAAGATTTGCTCTTTAGTCATTCATCTAAGTGCCAGCCTTTTCTTCATGTGAATTGTTGAGAAATCGAGGTTGGTTTCTGTTCGGTTTAACATTGTTTTAATGTCCAGCGTATTTTTTTGCTAAATTGTGTTCATGAAGACGCGTTTAACCTCTTAAAAGACAAGCACGCAGTTTTTCCTCGCAAAAATGACTCATTGAGGACTGTACGAACGGAAAAGTTAATATCGTTTTTGTCCACTTTCAACCATTTTCCTTTCTTTTGGCGATTGAGGACACTTTTTTAAAGATTTTAGTTACTGGAAAACTATGGCAAGCATTTATTCTCGGAGACTTTGGGTTTAATAATAAAATATATTGAGAGCCGGTTGCTTTTTTTCGTCATGTTGGAGCATCTTTAAAAAATTCGACTTGAACTCGATTTGCATGAAAATTTTGTTTCAAAATTTCTAGTCGCCTCTTGCTTTAGTTTGAATAGGAGATTTTTTAATGGGCGCCTGTACCTACGTGCCTAAAGGGCGGTTTTTCAGAGGCAACTCTAATAAATGAGGATCTGCCTGAGTTTAAATGAAAATCTGCCTGGTTGATGTTCAAAATCTAGCTGTGTTAAACGGTTAAATCGCGATTAGACTAGATTTCTTTAAATAGGCTTTTGCAACTGTGCCTGATTGCTTTTTTTAGCGTCATGTTCAAGAGCCTCTAAACCATAATAATTGTGCCAGATTTCAGCGAAACTTTGACTGGTTGTTGCTTTAAATCTTGATTTCTATGTGTTAAACTTTCTAGGTGCCGCTTGTTTTGCCACAATTTTTTTTGGTTCAAATGCATGTATTTAAATGGGGTTTTTTCAGTCATGTTTATAAGTCTGCGAAAAATCAGAATAATTTGCTGGATTTAAGTAAAAATATATCCAATTGTTATGTTTATGTGCAAAGCGACAGCAAAGAAAATCTGATAGTGTTGGGAATTGATTGCCTGCAGTATCATGTTTGAGACCCCCTGAAAAATCAGGAGTAAGCTGGATTCGAGTGAAAACTTCTCCGAGTGTTTCTTTGAACGTTGTTTTCATTATGTTAAATGTTCAAATCCCTGCAACTCTTGCTTGAAAATGAGAATTTTTTAAATTCACTCCTCAAGGAGTATCATTCACTCATATCTGTTCATGTTCGGCAGGCTCTGAAATATCAGAATCGCTCTGAATCTAAGAGAAACTTTGCCTAATTGTGATTTCAATGTTTTTTGTCTTGTGCTGTAATTTCATTTTACTTGGGTTTGTAACAACGATTTTTTTGAGGGGCAGCTGGGGGAGCCGTTTTCCGCACTCACTCTTAAGAGCCTCTCAAAAATCAGAAGTTCGCTGGCGTTTAGTGGGTGCTTCTCTGAATGTTTCTTTAAATGTTGTTTTCTTTGCGTTGCAAGACGATTGTATTTGTTCAGGGTCACGTTTGGCAGACTCTGAAAAATCAGAATCAGGCTGAATCTAAGGGATATTTTGCCTAATTGTTCTTTTCGGTGTTGTTATGATGAATATGAAAGTGCCACTAACTATTGTTTGAAAATCAAATTTTTTTAGAGTCTTTGAAAAATGTGCGGTCTAGTAAAACCTCGTCTGAGTGGCCCTTTAAATGTTGTTGAACAATTTCACGTCGCTTGTTGTTTTGACTTGAAGAAATCGTTTAAATCGACTCCTGAAAGTGAAAAAGTCTACCTCGTTGTTACTCTAAGTATTTTTATCAATGTGTGAAAATTTCCGGAATTTTTTAAATTAATTTCATTCTAATTTGGCCCAAATTCACCTGCAGAAAGTGATGCGTGATTTCTCTATTTAGGCGTCGACAAGGACCATACTGAAGGACAGAATTTACTTTTAACACCGTAACAAATGACTGGACTGGTACTGACTTAACAATTGGACACAGTAAAAACTGTGTTGCGGCTGCCTGATCTTCTATTTACAAATTGGTGGTTTTGCGGTCAAATTTTCCAGTTTTTGTAACATGGCTTGAGCATGTTTCATTATTTTCTGTTGCAAATAAATTAATTCATTTGAATAGTCGTTTGTTGTCCCAATGGGCAGTCCTTTGTTCCTGCCGTAGCTTGGAAAATGCCCTGATGGCTTTCAATCCAACTGCCTCAGGCTTTCCATATAAAATCAATGAAGCAACAAACCGAAACTTTAACTGAAAAATCGATTCCTCTCTGTTTTCCATTGTTTGCTTAGTTTTCTATTTCTATGAGAAATTTGATGGCCATTAATTGTTAAAATCCGACATGCCATCGTTGTACAGTTCACCAAAAAGCGATCTGAATGAGTCATGAAAATTCGTGGCTGAAGCCCACGAAGTGAACGCAACCCCACGTTTTAGGGGGTCAAGTTATTCCACTATGACGAGGGTCGATACAGCGAGACGAGGATTTGTGGAGAACAGCAGGAAAGACAAAAGACACTTGAAAAGCTTCGGAAATTTGTGGGTTTTGCATTTTTTAACTTTTCAATTACTACTAGAAAATTACCCTCCGGAGTCATGAATTGGTCGTTTTCTCACGTCGTTTGTGGTTTAGGGTACTTGATTTGTTATCGTGGTGTTTTTGCACCCACATTCTTGTTTTTCCCTTCCCTAACAAATGTTTCCCTTTGTACTTATGCTTGTGCTTGCATTTCTAGGCGTTGCTTTATCGCATTTCCAGGGCGAGTTTTCCATGTTCCCTAGCAAAGTTTCCTTTATGCAATACGAGCGCTTCTACCGGGAGATTTGAAAAACAATGCGGGCGACCCTTGAAAAGCTTCACAGCTTTCCTATCTTTTATAGCAGCGCGAATTTTTAATAATACAAAAGGACGCGCGTGGTGTATATTCCAGATTCCAGACTTCCTAAGTGTTTTCCAGGGGTTTAGTGCATTTGAGTTGCGCGTCTCTACAGCCGTTCTCTTCCCGCTTTTCTAGGACAAACGTTTGTTGATTGCCGAGGGTGAAGAAATCGGGTTGTAGCCGCTCAGATTATAGTGTCTTGTTTGCGTGGTAGGTAAGTTTTGTTTTAAGCGCATTGATACATAACAGTTTAAAAATACTCGGCGATGAATTATCTCATTTGAAAGTAACAGTTCTTATCCACATACGTGTTCGAATTGAACAGTTCTAGAGGCATTTTTAAACTTCTCTGAATGCCGTCTAGGTCTAGATTTAACGATGAAATTGCACTTCGGTGGTCGCTCAACAGTTCGCCGACATTCCAAACAGGTTATTAGGCGCAAGCAGGTCAGAAACTATCTAACGATAAGTGGATGAAGAAACCAGATAATTTCGGAACTGGCGGCGATTTCTTGTAAAAGCGAGCGTTTTACGCTTGAGGCTCGTCCCTTTGAAAGAATTGAGAAATAACAATTGTCGCGGTCTTTTTGCCTGGCCACCATCTGCAATTCTGGTCATTTCATTAGGCGTGTAATCTGATCAAGCGATACGATGGCTCGTAAAGCCAACAACCAGGTAATCAGCCATACCAACCGGTCTTCACATATCGAGGATATTCATATACATACATGCGAGGCAGTTTTCTGCAGTGCGTGAAAAAATCGCATTTTATACCCGGGGAATTGAATATGTTTTACTTGATATTCGAGCAGTTTCCATGCACTATTGAATGGGAATCGCCTTCAACGGCAGGCTCTCATCAAGGCTTTTATCTTTCGCTTTTCGCATCTGGGTGTTAATCGAGGAATATTTGGAAGTTTGCTTGTTTACATGGTCTTTTTATGGGTTCCAACGCAAAGGCGCGTTTTGTATTGGATTTTTGCTTTTGCTATTGGTTGAGATGTCGAGCTGATGTTGGCACAGATCAACACTTGGATATTCTTTGGATGTTTTATAKGGGCGTAAAAATCGGACTTTGTCCGTTTGGAGCCTACAARGATTCAAAACTGAGTYTAAAAATTAATATCTCCWAAGCSGATAGAATTAGTTGATTACGACTAAGAGCCATTTCGATGAGATGAAAAAATGTACGGGACTTCGCCTCKTTAGGGCCCCAAATATTTCCAAATCTTAGATCGCGTATCGCCAAACTGGTAAAAAARGGCGGGGTAATTACGAAAGATTTTTCGATAGAGCGTCTCAAATGCTATACTTTCGCTATTGGGTTCGATCAGAAATTCCTGATTTTTAGAAAGTTAGAAGCAAAATGCGAAAATTTAAGAAACTGCCGCTAAGGCGTTTTAAAGTTTAAAAAAATCTTGCTGCTTGAGAGTGTTTAAAACCATCGATTTGTTCTAGATTTGCATGAAACTTTCTGCTATTGGTGCCATAAAAACCAGTTTGCATGCACTAATATTTCTTGTCGCCAATCGCTTTAGTTTAAATAGGAGATTTTTGATGACGGATCTGAGTAAATGCCAGTGAAACTCTTTCTTATTGATGATCAAAATGTTCTTTCAGCTGGAGTAAAATTTCAAACCGCTACTGACCGTCATGTGCAACAGCCTCTAAAAAATCAGACTTCTACTAGAACCAAGTGAAACTTTGACTAGTTGTTGCTTTGAATGTTGGTTTTCTGGTGTTAAATTTGCTAGGCGCGACTTGCTTCTGCTTGTTTAGGAGAATTGTTTTAAAGTGCAACTGCAAGGCTCTAAATAGCGGTTTTTCAGTCATGTTTACAAATCTCTAAAAAATCAAAATTCCATGTGATTTAACTGAAACTTTGCCAAATTGTTCTTTTGAATCTTGGTTTTTTGCCAGGCTGGCAGTTTCTTGTGCAGGACTGAAAGAACCGTTTTCTACGGAATATTATTTTCATAAAATTTGGCACAAATGTAAACAGAGATTCTTCGGCTGTGTATTTGTCCGTTTGGGATCTCCAAAGTTTGAAAACTAGAAATTTCCAAGCTTTTGCCCCCCAAAGGGGCTCCCAGAGCTTAAAATCTCTAACACACTTAAAGAAGCATGTCGAAGAAACTGTTGTTCGGCCCCTAAAGCCAGTCTCTGAAAAAATGCTTCTGAAAACCCCTGACCATAGATTTTACCAGAAAACTGAGCCGAAACATAAGGGTTTCCACTAAAGAACACCGTCTGTTCTCAATAATCAAGGGTAAAATTAGAGCAGCTGGTGTTTAATGGTTTATAACAGTTCTCGAAGCAGGTTGCAAGTTAAAAGTTTGCTACCCGAGCAAACCGCTCAAAGAGCTCATAAATTGCTGGTAACCAGCTAAAAGTGAACTCATAAATAAACCTGTAGGCAATGTTTTATTTCTGACATTAGGTAGAAAATTAATCACAACCTCTGAGTTTACTGGCGAGTGAAGAATTTGCAAGTTCCCGTTTCCTTCGCTCCACTTCATGAATTTAAAATGAGTTGTTTATACAGAAAGCAATGGGCATTTGCATCCAGTATTTATCACTTGCCCGTTCTGAGCAAAAACATCGAGTCGGTTTCTTTTATTTGTTGAAGAACTATTCGCTAAAGTTGGTTTGTTGAATTGCAAACATAAATATAAATTAATCGCGATAACACTGAAAACGTTGCCTTAACCTGCAGATGTCTGCAGGGATGTGGCCCGATTCCGGAGGAAAAATCGCCCGTAATACCGTCGACTAAGAATAAAAATAGACGGAAAATGCAATCAATTCGCAAGCCGCTTTCCTGAGCTCTCACTGTATTAAATTTCCATCAGTCTTGGTCACAATGCATTCTTTGGAGAGGTGGAAATTTTCTTTGCGAGCTTCAGGAATTAATTACATTTTCGTCCGGATACCAAAGCCGATATTAGCTAATTAGGGGACAATTTGTGGCATCATAATCATTTAAGGGAATCGTTTCCTTGAATATTAATTTAGTTAATGGAGATCGAGGGCGTCCAATGGAGGATCGTGCGGGATCGTTTTAATACATTGATGTTTGCTGGAATATAGTACAGGAAACAGTTTATTTCCTCTTTTTTATTCTGTAGAGTTACAAGATTTTTTACCTATTTTGTTATTGTTTTTACTCATCAATCTCGTATTGTCCCTGACCCGATACATATTCCTTATTTCTATGTAAATTAATTGTCATCGAATACTAATAATCCATAAACTGGCACCAGTAGGAATTAGCCCACGCCTCATCAGCGTAAATAATTAACATCGATTCTTCGTTATTCAACGTTAAAAATGTCATTTGCATACCGCTAAGCATCGCATTCCATAACGAACAGCTTAACACGATAATATTAATGAATTTCATCGTACTGCCTGGACGAGATACATTTATATAATTACTAAAATCCGTTGAAAAAGGTTAATCTTTTTGGGAGTACCATTATTTTTTTAAATCAGTCGTATAACGGTTTATACATTTTTTTGAGAAAATGCGCAATTTAATTGACTGATTTGAGGCTTTTTATTAAAGATTAGTAGATTATTATTATGGAATTTGATAGGGACCGTAATAGATGAGATGATGAGGTCGAAGCTAATTATTTAAATTTTATTAAACTAAAGCAAGCGTTTTCGCAAAGCGTTTGCTCTTTCTACTCAACATGCAGACCTTGAGCAGTTGGACCTAATTTTTAAATTGCGAACTCAGATATTAACTCGGTTTTTAAAGGATTTACGAGGTTTTGAAACTTTGAGAGCTCCAAACGAGCAAAAATCTGCGCCAAATTTTCTTAACAAATTGAAAGAACGCCCATTAAAAATATGTTCTTTTAAAACAGAAACCCATAAGCGCATTAATGTTTCAGCGCAGGAAAGCGAACATTTGGGCAAAGTTTCACTTAAATTGGGTGTAATTCTGATTTTTCAGTCTTATAACCACCATTGAAACATCGCAATTTTGAAACTTGCAATTGCACTTTAGTAAATTCTCCTATTCAAGCTGAAGCAAATGGCGCTTAGAAACTCTAACGCATAAAAACCAACGTTTAAAGCAGCAGCTAGTCAAAGTTTGACTCAAATATGGGAGAATTCTGAATGTTTAGAGGCTCTTGCTAGACAACTCGCAGACAAAACAGAGAAATGTGCAAAGGCCTGTTAAAAAAATCCAGTTTCCGAACGAATGCAAGTGGTGATCTGCAGTTTTCTTACAGCTGAAAGAACACTTTGATCATCAATCAGAAAGAGTTTCACTCGAATTCAGTGAGATCCGCATTTAGCAGGGACACTTGAAGACTCGCACGCGATCAAAAAACTTCTACTATTCAAACTAAAGCAAGTGGCGACATAAAATTTTCACATTTTTGCTTCGAACTTAGGATTATATAAAATATAGTAGCGTATATGGCCAAGAACAATGTTTTTTTAAACCTCATCAACTGCATATAGGTACATTTTTCTACACATCCCAATATAAATTGCATACACTTTACCACCTTCTATACATATTTATGACTATTTGCGGATTAGGAAACAGATAATTATCCGAATAAATCGTGGATTTTTTTATACACTCGAACCCAATTGGGACTTTTCATTAATATTCGCAATGGGTTCGAAGGAATTACGTTGTAAACCCAAGGCCAAAATTTACCAACGAGGTTTTTAAACCGTTGCCGATTTTTGATCGCTCAATTTACCGCGATCGAACGTTGGAATTTCGGCTCAAATCGAATTTTTGAGCTAATGGATTGTAATGATTAAGCCCTGTCTGCTCTGATTATTTCAAGCGATCATCCTTTTAATTAATTTCACGGCTCGTTTGGTAAATGCCGATGTTGGAGCTGAAAAGGCCAAAACAGAGCAAATGTAAGTTTAATCATCGGCTTACATGAGCGCTTTAAACATATATTTCCTGCTGAAAATGCCTGGTTTGCCAATCAATTAAAAGGCAATTTTCACGTGAATTCCTGTAATTTTTCCTGACTGTATTTCCAATTTTAATATAAAACAATGGTGGTCCACCATAAACTGAGGATGGTGGAAAAACACCGAAACGTATTTTAAGAAAACTGAATAAATTATGATATCGAAATAAATGAGTGAACCCCAGGAATACTGTTTTACTTCACATGAATGCCCCGATTCAAAATGTTGTTGAAAAAAGATTTCTTCGTTAAATTCGGCACGAATACATCGTTTTCCATGTCGAAATTTCACGTCAGATTGCAATTTATGAGCCAATTTGTACCTTTTAAGGGCAACTTTAATCAAACCGATGCACTCCCCATAGATAGGAAATCGAGCATAAATCAATTTAGTGGCAGGAGGGCTGAATTTCATTGCCCTCGACGTTGCGCACGTAATTCAACAGTGTCCTTCAACAATGTCTTTGTTGCAGGTTTTATGGGACCAACGCCACTCAGCTCATAAGCGGCAATCACTCCCGAACATGTGCAGTTTAGTGAAAAATGCTCAATCTATCTACTCTGATGGTTAAGAGGAACAAACCCCACCTGTTGTATATACTTTTTTTATGTTTTCTCCATTTCCACGCCACCAACCCCTACCTTATACTGGTGGAAGACACCTCGTTACCTGGAACCGTAATTTTCAATGCCTCGGTATTCCGACTGGGGTCGGATAGGGCCTACACGATCAACCAGAAGAGATCGGCCCCATTCGTCCAGTCCCTTATACAAGTAGAGGCGAACACTGGCCAGGTTTCTTTGCTGGAAGGGCTGCAATGCACTGGACTGTATTACCCAACGCTTTTTACTGTGCACATTGACTCCACATCGAGCAGAATCAGGGACATCAACTACTACAGTTTGCCTTTGAGGATATTTATTACTGGAAAAGAATGCGCTGATCACTCAGCTGAAGAGGATCTGGAATATTTGGATGAGTTTGCAAGCGACAAGCGAAGCCGTCGGTCTGAAAATGACCGGAACCCTTTCGCACATGTCCAGCCTTCGGCCAAGCAGCGAATAAACGCGGCCAGACAATGGGTGTCGGAGACGTACGCTTCTTTTGCTATCCCAACCGCCGGAAAATGGCGCAAAATCTGCCTGCGGCAGTCGCAATTTGTTAATTCCATTACGAATTTCCTGCCCTTGACTATACTGGAGTCCTGCACAGTGAAGTTTCACTATGTTAGTGACGAGCGGTTTGAGATTGAGCACAGCCAAGGCGATTTGGTGGCCAGCCGGGACGTTTGCATAGTGGAGCCCATGTGGAAAGTGTCGGTTCTATTCACGTCCGAATGCAGAGAGGCGAACATTCTGAACTCGGAGCATCGCCTGAAAATCGTCTACCATCATCAGCAGTTCAACGACACCGACATCGCCAAAAGAGTGCGAAGAGAGCTGAGGAACCAGTCGCCGTTCTTCGAGCAGCATCTCTACGTGGCCAGTGTGTTGGAAGAGTGCGAGCCTCCAGTAATAGTCACCACCGTAAAGGCCCGAGACCCGGAAAACAGCCCCATCACCTACTCAATGACGAGCCTCTTGGACTCCCGCACTCAATCCATGTTCGACATTGACCCCAAGTCGGGAGTAGTCAGCACCAAGGTGCAACTGGACAGAGAACTCGTGGACGTGCACTACTTCAGAGTGACTGCGCAAGACAACACTTTTCCTCCCAGATCAGGCACCACGATGCTCCAAATCAACGTGCAGGACGCAAACGATCATTCCCCGGTCTTCGAAATGAACGAATACGACGCCAGCATCAAAGAGAGCGTCAGTGTGGGCACGACAGTCATCACCCTGAAGGCCACCGACCAGGACATCGGGAAAAACGCCGAAGTGGAATACTCCATTCAGAGCATCAACGGCGGCGGGACTTCAACGGAAGAGGAGGACAACGCGTTTAAAATCGACGCAAAAACCGGCGTGATCACCACTCGAAGCCTGCTGGATCGGGAGACCACTGAAGTCTACACGCTGATTGTAGGAGCAACTGATCTGGCCAGCCCGCAGACCACCAGAAGATCTTCATCGGCCAGCGTGATCATCAGCATCCTGGACGACAACGATAACTACCCCCAATTCTCCGAACGCACCTATTCAGTGGCGCTGAACGAGGACGCGAACTGGGGGGAAAACCCCGTAATCGCCCACATCAAAGCGACGGACTCGGACCAGGGCGTCAACGCCGCCATTCGCTACGCCCTCATCAGCGGAAACACCCAGTCTCAGTTCGCCATCGATAGCTTAACGGGGGACGTTTCATTGGTGAAGCCGCTCGACTACGAGACGCTCCGAAACTACCGATTGGTGATCAGAGCGCAGGATGGGGGCAGCCCGGCCAGGTCCAACACCACCCAACTCCTAGTCAATGTCAAGGACATCAACGACAACGTGCCCCGATTCTACACGTCCCTGTTCCAGGAAAGCGTGCAGGAGAACGTGCCTATCGGCTACAGCGTTGTAAAAGTGCAGGCCTACGATGCGGACGAGGGCCCCAATGCCGAAATCAAATACACCATTTCCCCCAGAGATGCCACTGGGGGCAGCACCGACGACCTGCCCTTATCAGTGGACCCCCAGTCCGGCTGGATCTACACCACCAAAGACCTGGATCGGGAGGATCAGTCCAAGTTCATGTTCCAGATAATAGCGGCCGATCAAGGAGTGCCGTCGCAATCGGCCAGCGCCAGCGTTATCATAACTGTGCAGGACGTGAATGATAATGACCCGGTTTTCGAGCCCAAACTCTACGAACTGACTGTGGCTGAAGATGACCCTCCAGGCACTCCAGTTACCACCGTGACGGCAACCGATGCGGACGAAGACAACAAGCTGCACTACGAAATAACCAACGGGAATACCAGAGGGCGGTTTGCCATCACGTCCCAGAATGGGCGGGGCCAGATCACCATAGCGCAGCCGTTGGACTACAAGCTCGAAAAGCGGTACATCCTTACAGTGACAGCAGCAGATTCGGGGGGGCGCAGCGACACAGCCACCGTCTACGTCAATGTAACCGACGCCAACAACTTTGCGCCGGTATTCGAGAACGCCCCCTACTCAACCAGTGTGTATGAGGACGCAGTGGTTGGCACCACTGTGCTGGTGGTCAGCGCCACCGATAACGACGTAGGCCTGAACGCGCAGATCACCTACTCCCTAGGGGAAGATAGCGGCAGCGACTCTACTTTTGCGATTAACCCCCAGACTGGCGCTATTATGACTACCAAGACTCTGGATCGCGAAGCCACCGCTGGGTATCTTCTGACGGTGACTGCGCGGGATGGGGGAAACCCCCCAATGTCTGACACGACAGATGTGGAAATTTCGGTAAGCGACGTCAACGACAACTACCCTCAGTTCAGACAGCCCGCGTATTCCGGCAGCGTTTCTGAGGACGCCCTAGTGGGGACCTCAGTGGTTCAGGTGGCTGCCTCTGATGCAGACGTCGGGCTCAACGGCCGCATCCGCTACACCCTAAGCGAGAAGGACCAGGACGACGGCTCGTTTGTCATCGACCCAGCCAGCGGAGTGATTCGCACCAACAAAGGCCTGGACAGAGAGTCGGTGGCGTTTTACGAGCTGGAGGCCTACGCGATAGATCGAGGCTCGCCCACCTTGAGCAGCTCCGTCCCAGTCACCATCCGGATAGAGGACATTAATGACTCCCCGCCGGCTTTCGCCTCGGACAAGATCGTGCTGTACATAGCGGAAAACAGTCCGATCGGGTCTACAGTGGGGGAGATCTATGCCAAAGACCCTGACGAGGGAGTGAACGCCATTGTTCAGTACTCGATAATAGGCGGGGAGGATGCGCAGAGCTTCTCGCTCGTCACTCGGCCGGGCTCCGATAAAGCCGAGCTGCTCACTATGACCGAGCTGGACTATGAAACTCCAAAGAAGAAGTACGATATCGTGGTGCGAGCCGCCAGTCCGCCGCTCAGGAGTGATGCGCATGTGGAAGTCATTGTAACTGATGTGAACGACAACGCGCCGACTCTGCGCGATTTCCAGGTGGTTTTCAACAACTTCAAAGACTGCTTCCCCACTGGGCCCATAGGGAAAGTGCCGGCCTTCGATGCGGATGTCTCGGATAAGTTGCGGTTTAAAATCCTGTCTGGCAACAACGCCAATTTGATAGCGCTCAATCAGTCCACTGGGGATCTGCAGCTGTCGCCCCAGCTCAACACCAACGTGCCCAAGCTGGCGTCTATGGAGGTGGCCGTGTCGGATGGGGTGAACGAAGTGAAGGCCATCATGCAGCTGAGCGTGCGGCTGATTACCGAGGGAATGCTTCGGAACTCCATAACCATCCGGCTGAACCAGATGACCAAAGAGGCCTTCCTGTCGCCCCTGCTAGGGTTTTTTGTGGATGGCCTGGCGGCCATCATCCCATGTCCGAAGGACAACATCTTCCTCTTTAGCATTCAGGACGATACGGATGTGAAGGACAAGATCCTCAATGTGAGCTTTTCGGTGCGCCGCCCGGACACCACCAAGGAGGAGTTTTACTCCTCGCAGTTCCTACAGGAGCGGGTGTATCTGAACAGGGGCCTCCTGGCGCGACTTTCCACGGTGCAAATCCTGCCCTTCGACGACAACCTATGCGTGCGAGAGCCTTGCCTGAACTACCAAGAGTGTCTCACGATGCTGAAGTTTGGCAACGCGTCGGGCTTCATCCACAGCGACAGCGTGCTCTTCAGGCCCATCTACCCAGTGACTACGTTTACATGTCAATGTCCGCGGGGCTTCACAGGGGCGCGCGAGCACTACTTGTGCGACACCGAGGTGAACTTGTGCTACTCCTCGCCGTGCAAGAACGACGGCATCTGCAAAATCCGCGAGGGCGGTTACACTTGCGTGTGTCCCGCTAATTTCACTGGGGAAAATTGCGAAATTACGCTAAACGGCGAGGCGTGCAAGCCGAGTGCATGCCGGAATGACTTCACATGCAATTCCATGCAAAGGGAAAACGGCGGCTTTGTTTGCGACGACTGCTCCTTCAATGCCGACCAGGATTACAGCGCCACCTGCCAACTGAGGGGCCGCAGTTTCACCAAAAGCTCCTTCCTAACGTTCCCCAGCTTGAAGCAGCGGCACCGGCTGCACTTGAAGCTGAGCTTCGCCACCCAAGCTCAGAACGGGCTGCTCTTGTACAACGGCCGCTACAATGAGCAGCACGACTTTATCGCCTTGGAGATCGTTAGAGGCAACGTGCAGTTCTCCTTCAGTCTCGGCAGCTCGATCACCAAGGTGATCGCCTCGGTTCCCGGAGGGGTGGCGGACGGCAAATGGCACTCAGCTACTGTGAGCTACTTCAACAAGTCAGCTACTCTGGCAATCGACGGCTGCGACAGCGCGCTTGCTTTGAAGCACGGCCGGGAGTTGGGCAGCAAGTGGGCTTGCGCCAGCTTCGCTGAACACATCTTGGAGTCGCGATGTGCTTCCCTTACGGAAACTTGCCACCGATTTCTGGACCTGACTGGTCCTCTGCAGCTGGGCGGGTTGCCAATGCTGTCTGCCAAGTTCCAGATTGAGAACTTCCACTATGAGGGCTGCATTCAGGACTTTGAGGTCGACTACCGGTTTGTGGATCTCAATTTGTTTGTCGCCGACAATGGCACCACTGCGGGGTGCCCGGAGAAGAAATCCTTCTGCGCCGTCGCACCCTGCAAGAATGGCGGCACTTGCCTAGAGGGATGGACAGTCTTCAAGTGCCTCTGTCCCGAAGGGTATGGAGGCAGGGACTGTGGGGAGACTATCGGATTGCCCTGGCATTTTTCTGGCGACGGAATGCTTTCGTTCAACCCCTTGCTCCGGCCCATCCAGCTGCCGTGGTTGAATGCCCTGTCGGTGCGGACTCTGCAGGAGGACGCGTTTCTGATGTCCATCCAAGTGGGGCAAAACAGCTCTGCCACGCTGGCGCTCCATAAGGGCCAGCTTTTGTACGTTTACAATGGGGACGAGCTGGCGCTGGACTCTGTGGCAATTTCCGATGGGCAGTGGCACCACATCGAGGTCTCCTGGATCGGGACGGAGGTGAAGTTTTCCATTGACTACGACGAGTATGCGGCGGTGATGCCGTTCTCCGAGAAAATCCAGGGGCTCTACGTGGGGAAGATCCTGATCGGGGGCCCGGATAGCAGCTACAGCAGTTCGAATGCCGCATTCGGCTATCTGGAAGGGTGCATCCAGGATGTGCGGATCGGGAATCAGCAGACCAGCCTCACTAGGCCTACAGTGAAGGAGAATGTGGAGGAGGGGTGTTTTTCCTTGATGGAGTGCCAGAGTCAATGTCCGGATGAGGCTGAGTGTACAGTCGGCTGGGGCAGGTCGCAATGCGAGTGCCACAGCGGGCATGTGGGGCCGCTTTGCGTGCCGGTTTGTTCGGTAAATCCATGCGAGAATCTGGCTCAATGTAGGGAAAGCGCAGGGAATCCCAGAGGGTACGAGTGCCGATGCAACTCCACTGAGTACTCTGGGGAATATTGCGAAATCAAGCAAGTGCAGCCCTGCCCGGCTGGCTGGTGGGGCCACCCCGTATGCGGCCCGTGTGGATGCGATGTGGAGGCCGGCTACAACCCGAACTGCGACAAGAAGACTGGCAAGTGCCATTGCAAGGAGAATCACTACCAACCTGCCGGCACTAAAGAGTGCATTCCCTGCGACTGCTACTCGGTTGGCTCGTTCAGCAGCCAGTGCGACCTTGAAACGGGAAACTGCCACTGCCGGGACGGGGTTATTGGGCAAAAGTGCGATTCCTGCCCCAACTCCTATGCAGAAATCACGCTGAAAGGATGCGAAGGTAAAGTTCGCCCCTCTAACGCGTCCAGGAGCTTAACGGGAGATGTTTGGTGTTTCCAGTGGTCTATGATGGTTGCCCCAGGTCGTCAGCCAACTCCATCTGGTGGCCGAGGACGGTGTTCGGCCAACAGGCCTTGGAAGTTTGCCCGAAGGGCTCGCATGGAAAAGCGTCGAGGAAATGCGACAACGAGATGGGCGGATGGCAGGAGCCCGACATGTTCAATTGCACATCTGATCGCTTTGTCGAACTACGCGAGCAGGTAACTCACTCTTGCCCGGTCTCCGAACTCCAACATGTCGGTTACATAAGCTTATGAGTCTCATAAACTACCAAAATCACGTCTGTTGGGTTTCTCAACGTCTGTTTAAAGCTTATTGGTTCCATAAGTTATCGAATAGATATCTACTCGAAGGTGGATGGATATCGGCTTCATAATGTCTGACGCAAGCGTGTAGGGTTTTCATTTTTACAACAGAGCGATTCTAACCTAACATAACCTATTCTTATTACATAACAGCATTGCATGACAGTTTTGTTTTGTTTAACGTATAAAAATTTATTATCATTATTTAAAATGGATAATTCGAGTTCATCTTCTGATGATGAAATTATTGAACTTCTAAGTTATATTGAAGGGCCAAGACGGTATCTTGAACGAGAGGACCAAATGAACAAATATGGAGATTCTGAATTTCGCGACAGGTTTCGTTTAACGAAACACTGTTTCAGTGTATTATTGGACCTTATTGGG